GGGGTGCTGATCGACAGGAGGCTGAACATGAGCCAGCAGTGTGCCCAGGTGGCCAAGAAGGCCAATGGCATCCTGGCCTGCATCAAGAACAGTGTGGCCAGCAGGAGCAGGGAAGTGATCCTTCCCCTGTACTCTGCGTTGGTGAGGCCACACCTTGAGTATTGTGTTCAGCTCTGGGCCCCTCAGTTCAGGAAGGACATTGAGGTGCTGGAACAGGTCCAGAGAAGAGCAACCAGGCTGGTGAAGGGACTTGAGCACAAGTCCTATGAGGAGAGGCTGAGGGAGCTGGGGTTGTTTAGTCTGGAGAAGAGAAGGCTTAGAGGTTACCTCATCACTCTCTTCAACTACCTGAAGGGAGGTTATAGCCAGGTGGGGGTTGGTCTCTTCTCCCAGGCAACCAACAATAGGACAAGAGGACATGGGCTCAAGCTCTGCCAGGGGAGGTTTAGGTTAGATGTTAGGAAGAAATTCTTTACAGAGAGGGTAATCAGGCATTGGAATGGCCTACCCAGAGAGGTGGTGAATTCACCATCCCTGGAGGTTTTTAAAAAGAGATTGGATGTGGCCCTTAGTGCCATGATATAGTAATTGGAGTTGGATCAGGGGTTGGACTTGATGATCTTGGAGGTCTTTTCCAACCCAATCTATTCTATGATTCTATGATTCTATGTCCCAGACCTGAGGCCAGGTTTGAGTCTTTCCTTTGCGCTTAAAGAGAATGGGGCAGAAGTGCTTCTCCTTTCCTTTCTCTTTACTCTGCTGAGATGCCTGAATTTGTGGTTTAAGCAATGTGTAAGTATAACCAGAGGTCCTAAAGAGGCAAAACACTCACTACAGTGGGCTTTCTACATCAGCCAAGAGTACTTCCTTCTTTGTCTCTGGGACTGTCTGTGTTGGATAACAGTCAATAGATGGTAATAGACATGGAGTGACACAGTAGCAATGGGGACAAGATGCCTGCCAGCCCGATACAACCCCTGTTATGTACAGATGTTCATGGGTTTAGGCTTTCATTACTCTAGGCCCCTTTGTAAGTTCTGAGTTTATCCGCTTTGGCATTTTCCTTGAGAGGAGACAGATAGCAAAGACAGAGGAAAGAAAGTGGTTCGTATGAAATGTCTTTAAGGAGAGTTAATTTCTCTTGACTGATGTCTGTGGAATTTTCATATTCATTTGGAAGGAAATCATCCTCAGCAATTGTCATTACCTCCTAGAGAAGTGCTGCATCTGTTTGAAGGTATATTTGGCACATATTGTGTC